TAGTTTTCTTTCTGTTAAGAGGTCGAACAAAGCATTCGATTGTTACCTGGTACAATGTACGTGCACCGTTCAGTTGTTATATGTATGTTCTAAATCCGAGATGGTAACTTATAACATTACCTATTTAATAAAGCATATTTATTAAATATTTTATGCAAAGTAATGAGAAATCTGTTTCTATTTTCAAGTTTGACCTGTCTTGTGAGAATGCTTGGCAACTGAGTACTTGCAAGTCAGTGTTGTTTGCTGGAAAACTTTTGGGAATCTTAGTGTCAGGTGTGATATCAGACAGGTAAGCAGCATACATGTTGTTATTTAAAAACATTTAAAAGAAATTTAGTGTTGTCCGTATGTTTTGTACACCTTTTGTAAGGCCAGGTTTAATTTTTGTTTTTCAGATTTGGAAGACGGCATGTGTTTTTGTTCGGTCAGGTATGTCTGGCTGCGGCGGGGATCAGTATGGCGTTCGCTCCAGACATGCTGACTTTTTCTATTCTGTACGTTCTTCAAGGATCATGCGACTCCCTGTCCTACTTAACCATCTACACACTCGGTAGGTGCTTTCATTTGGTCTACATATGACCAGTAGGTCAAGTTACAATTGCACATTACAGAAGCGTTGACACGGAACAGTCACGCCGACCATGTCCGTCAAATGTTAATATTATTTACGCGGCTTCACACCGAAAGTCTCGAAGACGTACATAGTGCAGTGTAAGGCGAATGGCAGCATTTGGAGTCGGTGGCTATAGAATCTGCATAAAGCAGCCTGATTTTTGTCAATCGGTGCAATTTCATGCATGTTACAAGTGTCGCTAAATTGCACATGTATAATATAAGGTGTTAGGCATAAGTTCTACAGTTGCAGTTACTTTTGAATGGAAGTAACGAAAAGTTGTTTTAGTTAAATGAAATTCTAAAATATAAAGTATATTTAATAAAAATTTCTTCTTCAAATTCATACCATATTCAAATACCATCTAACTCACCTGTTCAATAATAAATAAAATTTAATGCTGAAATACTTCTTGAGATTTACAACTTCTTAACTATTTACATTTGTTTCCAGGAATGGAGTTGGTAGGTACAAGTAAGCGACGTATGGCCGGCCTCATCATCGGAATGTTTTTTGGTTTAGGACACGGATTAATTGCACTGGAGGCGTACTTTATACACAACTGGCGACATCTAGCTTTGGTGGCAAATTCACCGGCAGTGTTCTATACATTGTTTTGGTTGTAAGTCATTGGCGTTTAATAATTTATTTACAGTCAGAATTTGTAAGGCAACTCTAGGCATAAAGGGTGGTTTCTGTTCACCTTTGGTAAATTGAAACATCCAGATTTATATAGTTACATGTTTTTCATTTTATTGTTATGTTCTACAATGCAAAGATGACCGGAATATAATAAAGATGAATAGTTCTAAAACAAAGATTTTGATGGAAGTAAAAAGTGGAGAAAAAGTGAATGAAAAATTAAGTTTTCGTTGTTTTAGAAAAAACCGTTGTGATACGTTTCTATTGCAGGGTTCTTCCGGAGTCGGTGCGATGGCTGCTCGCTCATGGTCGACATGAAGAAGCAAAGGCAATCATTACAAGAGTAGCTGCCGTCAACAAGGTCACACTGGATCCAGATGTACTCGATGACTTTTTATTGAAGGGAGACCAGGAGAAGAGAGTGACGCACACTCCTGTTGATTTATTTAAAACTCTGAATAGGGCTAAAGTTACTCTGAATCTTGCTTTCGTCTGGTAAGTAACCTTAATGAAATCCATAATTTTGATGTGGTTAGTTAATAGATTTTAATTTAGTCTACAATATAATATCTACTGGGAATAACTGATATCAATTTTTCTTATAGATTTTAAAGACTACACCTCAAGCAAACGTTAAATTATACTACGCCCCTTTCACACGTTTTAGACCTATACATTTTCATAATCCAGGTTGGTGAACGCTTTGGTATATTATGGCCTCTCCTATGGTACTCAAGATCTCGGGGGCAACCTGTACCTCAATTTTACACTTATGGGCATGGCAGATATTCCCGGACAGTTACTTGCGCTTTTCATTTTGGATAGGATAGGGCGTCGGAAGATTCTGCTAATCTTTATGGTATTTGGGGGACTGGCATGCATTGTTGCTGTTCTCATACCAAAAGGTAAGTTTAAAATGCAATTCGATCAATGCTGTTTCCTCGAACATCAAATGCAACTTCAGAGACTTAATTCCTGATCATGGAAATGGTGTACTGAATTATAGATACGCCAAGCTGTAAGGAAACGACTTGTAGTGTAGAGAGTGCCATCTTATGTCCCATTTGTCTAAACTTGGCCAGAATTACAAAACACCGTAATGGCAATTACCGAGTGCACGTCTAGTATTGTGTTGAGTTCATAACTTGACGGAGTGCACACAATCAAAAACTTTTGATTTAAAGAAAGAAAAATTCAGATTTGATTCATTGTAATAATTGTCAAGATTCAACCATTTGTACATAGAACTACATTTTTCCGTGGACATAGGTAACCTTTTAGCAATTTCGGCAAATTTTTTAGTCTTAACACAAAGCACAAAGTTTCAGGAAAAGTAATTCTTCAGTTTTGTTTGACTTCAATTAATAATCGACATCTTGTCTTCTAGGCCTGCAATGGCTGACTGTAACACTGGCTTTACTGGGGAAGATGGCAATAAGCACCTCCTTTGCTATCATCTATATTGTTACTAGCGAGATCTATCCCACTGTGATAAGGTCAGTTGCGTCTCCTTCCGCAACATAAAATAGTGCCTTTTGGTCTGGTCACTTTATTAGCCCGTACTAACTTGAGCATATCAAGCAATACGGTATTACATGCAAGCTGTAGCCAAATTCGCAACATGGTGACAAAATTGATTTTTAGAGTCTTCTAGTAGAGGTGGAAATGGTAAAATGTGCCTGTTAACATATTAGTGCTCAATAGAGTATATATATATACATGTATAAGAAAGTTGTGGATTGACTTTTAGACGTTTGTGTTGACTTAAAAGGAAGGTTGAAAGTCATGGAGTCAAATTTATTTAGTGCCAGGGCCATGTCAAGCGGTATTTCTGATAACCAACAGTATTTTGATTTAGTTATAAGTAATATTTTTAAGATGTTAACATTTTAAGTTATGTTCCTCTTTTCTCTTACCATATACATTGTACCCGTACAAGCATTGTACAACTTTGGAAAACCATTAAATGAAGCAAAATTTGCAAAATGCAGGGGTGTTATTGACGTTTGGAATGGTCTTTGCAATAATGTTCAGAATCATAATATAACCAGTAACACTATACCTGTACCCCAGGCAGTTTCCAATCCTTACCTGGAGATAATATTACTTATATGCAGTTCCACCTGCAGCATTCAAATTGGGCTGTTATGACTATGCAAGTTATTACGAATGAAAAGGGTTTAATTTCGATAAACCAGGATCCGGGATTTCCCTGACATGATGGAACTATCCCATGTGATATTTGATACCGTGTAATTTACAGGGGGTGTCTTAAGATGGGGTAGACATGCGGATATCGGAGTACATTGTACTTCTTAAACCTTTTGGATGAGATATGCATGTACCATAAATAGAATACCGGGGGCACTTCAATTCAAAATAAAAGTTATTTTTCTTGATTTACTATTGAGAAGGTACCGGCATTATGCACCTGAATTACTTACAATTACTGAAACTGCTTGGGGGGAATTAATTATCGTTTAGCAACTTCAGTAAGCGTGTCAGATATCTAAGCCGCTTAAGCTGAAAGCAGTTTAGCGAGAAACCCCTTGGAGATAGATCGATCCTGTGAACCCAGTCTAAGTCACTGTTTCTCATCATTCTTAATAAAGTTGTAATTGTTTTCATTATTTGTAATTGGTTTTAATATCAAATTGTTCGAATCACAAGGGACTATTTCTTTTCCTCAGGCACGTCAGCTTAAGCGTTCATTCCTCGGTTGCACGGTTAGGTGGTCTTTTGGCCCCTCAGATTCTCCTCTTGGAAACTATCTACAAGCCGCTGCCGTTCATAGTAATTGGGTTGTGTTCCGTGACCGCCGGAGGGCTGACGATGTTGCTGCCAGAGACCCTGGGAAAACCCCTGTCTCAGACCATGGCCGCTTTCGACACGGTGATAAATGGAAGGTTGGTATTAACTGCTTCTTCATTTATTATCCTATTTTAATATTGAGGTAAACAGCTGAGGCATTGGGATTTTTGTCATAACATATATTTTATTTTTGCTCTTTAAGCTGTTGAATATGCACAAATATAAATGGTCAAATGTTTTTTCTATATTAATCTCATTGGCATTGTTTTATAACGTTTTATTTGAAAGTATGTATCGTTATATATTGCAGTTCCAGAACAGCAATGCATCAGAAGCAAGAGGAGTGTGTCACTAATACCGACGTATAGAAAAGATCATTTTTTGGCAGGAAAATATTTCATTATGACTATTCAACAGAAGAATTAAAAGTGAACTAGTCACCTTTACTGAATTTCTTCGTCATATCAAAGTGATAATGACGCTTATGGACGAACCAAACTAAGGTCATTGGTATCGATACTTGGAGAACAAAGTGTACATATATATATCTAAAGACTCTGTGTGTCTTAAAGCTCATGAGTTAACTGAGTTTCATGACCTACTTTTTACACCATTTATCCTTTTTGCGATTGCCCAAAGTTCATTGCATGCATTATCAGTTTAAGTTTGGGGAAGACATTCTATAAAGCCTTATTCGCTTCGGCGTGAGGAAATAGGTTAACTCTCCTTAATGTTGATATCAAAGTAAAGATAAAAAACAGAATGGCATTGCATTCCTTTCTTTAATGATTCAAAAATCGCAATTTAAACAATTTTACTACATATTGCCGATACGGTTGGATGCGTTATGACCATAGTCTAAATGCGTAGTAATGACGCAGAAGGCAACCAAAAGTCAGTTGCATTAAGATTATTCCTCTCTTCTGTATTTCACCATACCTTGCATATGATCCTTTACAAGTGTGCAATAAGATACAAACTGTTCTTCATGAAATACGTCCATCCAGACGAAATTTGAGGTTCCAGAATATTCACCTGACAAGCATCTATTTCGCTCGTGAAAATAACCCTTGTTACTGAATTAAAGCCATATGAGTTGAGAATGTTTAAATATTCCTACTTGCGTTAAACAAAGTTACATAATTTCTTTGGTTTTGTCATGTTTTATTGTCATGCTGATCATCATCATCATTAATAATAATAATAATAATAACTGTAATAGAAGGTTTTTTTTAAAAAAAATACTCATTAAGAGGGAATTCTTTTACGATCTCGGGTTTAAAAAAGATCAAATAGATAAAATAATACCAGCAAAATAGACAGAAAAGTAAACAGAATTTGGTAAAATAGTTATGAAGTGGTTGGATAAATTTTTAAAAAACCGTTTGCTTCCTATTACCATTAGCCTCAAAACACAGCCTATATTTCAAAAGACGGCTAGACGGCTTACAAAAATTTTGGCATGGTTGGGCTTGCTTGGCGACTCCGGAACTATATTCAAATGGATGACCATGCATTTGAACATTGAAACTGATGCTTCTCACAAGTTTCTTAGTTATGCCCACTTGAATATCAACCCCAATGTACTGACGGCCATTTTGGATTTTGGCACTTTGTCATGGGTGGATTCCGGGAGGAAATTATTCTTCCATTCATATTAATTGAACTGTAATTGGACCAAATTCAGTTGAAAAACATTTGTAAACATTTCTTTCAACTACGATGGGAAACTTCGTTCGTTTACTCTGCTTCTTTACAACGCAAAGATAATTTGCCGATTAAGAACCCTAGTTTAACCCTTGCGGTTTGTTTGCAAAATGGTGTGAGTAATTATTCATGATGTAGTAATTAGGCTATTTGTAAGTACCTTCCAACTGCATGAGAAGTCTCTGGTAAGACGACGCAATGCACTTCGACGATCTTCTCAAGACTCTTGGGGAGTTTGGCACCTTTCAGAAGAGACAATACGCCCTGATATGTATACTGAGCTCCTTGTCAGTCATGGGTACGCTGGGAATTGTGTTTTTAGGTGCTCAGATGGACCATTATTGTAAGGTCCCTGCTCACTACATAGACTGGGTAACACAGGCGTATGGAAACGTTTCACATGAAGAACTGTTAAATATTGCCATACCTCGAAATAAAGACGGGGAGAGAGAGCAGTGTATATTATATAGGTACGACAACGACACTCGTTTGGAGGCAATATACAGCATAGCAGATGGTCGAAACATTACTTCTGATTTTTCCCACAGTTTCGGAGCACTACATTTGGAGAGAAGTAACATCACTACAGAACCATGTCCAGAGGGAAGAATTTATAGCGAGGAACCGTTTAAGAGCACACTTGTTTCTGAGGTTGGTACATAAATACAGTTATTATTTAAAGATCTTTTCTGTATAAGTTAAGTATATCACCATCTCGAAATACTCTATCTAAAGTAAAATTCTTCCGGCCAATTTGTGTAATTGGATATCAAACGAAACGTTTAATTGTTACGTAAACCGTTAGGTTGTTATATGTATGTTCTGATGCAGTGATGGTGCGTTATGCTAATTATGAAGGTATTTTAAAGGTTTAATGCGAATTAATGAAAAAATATTTTCCATTTTTAGTTTGACCTGTCTTGTGAGAATGCATGGCAACTGAGTACTTGCAAGTCAGTGTTGTTTGCCGGAAAGCTTTTGGGAATGTTAGTGTCAGGTGTAATATCGGACAGGTAAGCAAAGCGTGTATGTTGTCATTAAAATTATAACCTAAAAAACAGTAAGTTTTGTCCACATGTGTTTCGTGCAACTTTTGTAAAGCCAGGTTTAATTTTTGGTTTTCAGATTTGGAAGACGACACGTGTTTTTGTTCGGTCAGCTATGTGTGGCTGCTACCGGGATAAGTTTGGCGTTCGCTCCAGACATGCTGTCTTTTTCTGTTCTGTACGTTGTTCAAGGATCGTGCGAATCCCTCGTCTACTTAACCATCTACACACTTGGTAAGT